GGAGCACTTGTCTAAATGAGCAGTCTGCAAAATAAGGAGTGGTTGTGTGCCCTATTTTTCATTTCCATTTGGGTCATTTGTTTCATTAGAGTGCAACTTATAGTAAGAATGGTATTTTAATGTCACACACTGCCTCAGAAAGGAACCTGTAGGACTTTTTTTCCTCAAAGGTCAAATGTAAGGAAAGTTAATTAATAATTTTATCTATGACTCACTGAAATATTTAAGAAAAACATGCTCAAAAAATTAAAGTGGGCTGTTAAAACTAAACATAAAGGGAGAGTATCTTTTTACATAATAATCATTTATGAAAACTAGTTCACTATGGAGTCTTACAGGCTCAGAAAGACTATATACAAAAATCTGTTCATAGACATCATTATCACAGCTTTTTAAAACATTAAAAGGGATATGTTAAATTCAAAAATTATTTAAGTTCTGATGGTTTCTAAAAGATAGGACAGACCAGAAATATTTGCACATATATATAGCTGCAGATTGTGTTCTGGCTTCAGACTGGGTCACAAGAACCTCTAAAATGCCCCAGGGAATCTTTTTATTGGTAGCTTTGAATCAGGCAGTGTGTTTCCTGAAATTAATCTCTCTTCTTACAAAGCATCCAGTTCTATTTCACACTTGTAAAAATAAGGCTAAATGAAACTGCTGTACCAAAGGCTCAAGAAATTATTAGCCATTCAATGTTCACTTTCTTTTTATGTCTTGAACATTGAGTTACAGAGCAAAGCAAGAAGTTGTCTGTTAATATACCAGTATCCATCCATGTGTTGAAACAGCTTCATGAATAAACTAATGGAACGGGAAAAGTCCACTTCAAAAGAGACAAAATCTATTGAGGTCTCCATATAGGGTATATATTTGAGCTGAAATTCAACTTGAAATTTTCTTAATTGAATTACGGCTGTATGGAGAGATTCAGTCAGGACTAGTGAGTATTTACAGTAGCCACAGTACATGCATATGTAATCTGTAAATTCCTTAGCCCTGTAGGAATAAGGAAACAAGGAATAAGGAAACAAGGAATAAGAGAAGGAAATATTAAACTTACATTGCTCAACTTAGTCTTAGAAAAGAGCTGTTTCTTTCATGTCACAAACCATGCTCTTTAGCACCACAGAAGACCTGGTCTGTAGGGTAGTCTTTACACGTAACTTGACATCTGGTTCCCCATATAGTTCATGGTGTCCTTGGCTGGAATTACCCCTGTAAAATAACTGTACTGTGTTGAAATGGGTCTCCGACTGTACATGGACTATTTCCTTCTGCTAAGCCACAAGTATTACATTAGTTGTGATTATTTTGCTTTCCTGATGGTTGAATTTAGTGTCCTCACTGACTTAATGCTATAATAGTATTGATTGTGTATTTGTATTCCTTGGTTTGCATATTGTATTTGCATTAAGTTGTTTGTCTCTGTTTAAAACCATGTACTTATTTCTTACTGCACAGGAATTCTGTTCAGAAACTTCACAAGGTAGCAGATGTACTACAGATCTGGGAAGAGCTCATCAAAGCATGACACAACACTGACGGCTCTGTCTTCAACGTGGAGAGGTGTGTTTTCTTTCCTTTCCAGAAGCACAGTCAGTTGCAGGCAGTCATTCAACAGCTATTTGGGTAGTTGGTAAAATATTCACCAATTAATTGATAAACCAGGGCTGTTGCCATGGTTTTCTGAAACGTGCAAGTATTTTTTCCCAGTCCGTCATTCACTTCTTAAAAAGTTATATGCACCTCTATTGTAACACATCTACCTTTGTTTTTCTAGGGGGAGGTAAAGAAGGTAGCTGTATGAATGTCTTATTTTTCACATGGAAGATCTTCTGATTAAATACACCTTGGCTTTTTTTTTCAGGCAACTATTTAGAAGACTGAAACAGATGTTTTTTTTACTTATGAAGGTATTTTTTTGCTGTTGGGAATTTTATTGTTTTGGATTTTTTAACAGATAAGGAATGGAAAAATCATGTAGTTTAATAATTGCATGCCTACCTCCTTCAGGCTATCATTTCTGAAGAATAATGCTCTGACACTTCCAGATATTTGCTGGGAGAAAAAGAAAACATTGCAACAGGAAAAGTAAAAGTGCAGATCTTTTTTATTTTCCATTGTGTAGCTTTAATGGTTAAAAAATCCCGGAATTTAGAATTATAGAAGGGCTTTTTGTTGGATTCTTTTAATAGTAGTGCTTTACAGAATGCTTGATATGAAAAGGACAAGTCACAAGAATATAGGAATGATCTCTTAGGTTTGCCTGGGATAGCACTGAACTGCCACTACCCAGAAGAAAAAAAAGTTGTTTTCATCTCCTTGAAAAAGTAAAGCACACATATATTGTTGGCACTGACCACTAGCAGCTCTTCCCAGAGGGATGCTGTAGGGCTGTTCTCCACACTGGTGTCAGGGTGGTACCTGCTGGGAGTTGCCTTTCATCCTTCTGATCTGCAGTCACAAAACTTCTGGAATGAAACTCTGGTCTACTGGGACCTGTTAGCCACAGCTTGCTGGGTATTTTCTGGACACTATTTCAACCTATATATATATATATATATATATATATATATATATATTGATGATACGGTAGTTGCTTTACTGAAATAAAGGGCAAGACAGTTTCTTATAGTACAGATGGTGAAGGGAGATGTCCTGTTTTCGGTTCTCTTCTCTGAGGATCTTACCTTTGACATTAAAATGACACCATTTTACTTTGCCTCCATTTGCCCCAAAAGCATCTTCTTAATGTCAGAGAATGAGTTCACATCTCCAGACAGGGTATTTGGATTCCAAAACTTTTATAAACTCCGCATTGAATCAGTGGATAAGTCACAGAAGCTTTAGTGATGATGTGAAAAAACATATCATGTGGGGAAAAAAAGAGTACTCCTGAGTGTACATTTCTAAAAGATTTCAGCACAAGGGAGGACTCAAAAGTGTTATAACCAACCAGTCCAGCTGCAAAGCAGTGCTGTTTACGATGACCACTCACACTGTAATGAATGCAGATACCTTTGACATGTACAAGATATAAATATACCATCACCATCATCATCATCATGGCTAGGCTTCGTGAACAAAGATTTGGGAGGGCTCTACCCATGTTTGTTACAAGCGCATTGGTGGCTAAAAAGGCCGATACCAGATAGGCACATCCGGTTGCAAAAGGCGCAGCAGAAAGACTCCTTAGGTGGTATATTCTGCAAGGCACGATTCTTTCTGCGTTGTCTTTTCTCCTCAAGAGTGATCCTGCATGCTTTCTCAAAGGCATCAGCAGCGTTATAGATGGTGTGTCTCCAGACCTCCCCACTGGAGGCCAGAGTAGACCAGTTATGCTGATCAATATGGCCAAGGCTGAGACATTGTTTCAGGGAGTCCTTGTATCTTCTCTTCGGGGCTCCTCTCATGCAGCAGCCGGTTCATGATATAATTACCATTAGCCCGCCTTGACCCTGAATATAAGTGCAATCAGCAATATACATATATTTCATAGCATTTTGATGGTATAACTAGACAAAATTTTTATAAGTATATACAGAATGTGATCACCAAAGGGCCAAAGTAGAAGACACCCAAGCACCAAAACATGAGACTTGATAAGCACAAGTGACTGCAAATAGAAAGGCAGGATATCATTCAAAGATGGAAGATTGGCAGGAAAAAGAAAAAATGCAAACAGCATTGGTAGGGAGTGCAACACCATAAAAGCATGAGGCATAAACAAGGAAAAGTGGAGGAGGAAGACAGCCGACTGATTTTTGAATGTGTCCTTCAGGAGCTCTCAGCTCTGACTTTGGCAATTGAGAACCATCAAAGACTGTAAACAACATTGCTAACTTTGCAGCATCAGCTCTGGGGTACTGTACATTTAGAACAAACTTTAAACTGATTGTTAAAAACTAAGGGGTTTGTATGCAGAATGATGAGATCAACATTATGTAAGAGTTAACCATTTGCATGAAGTAAGCTACTAATGAGTAATTTTTAATTCAGTAATGTTCAGTTTTACAGTGTAAAACTGACCTAATTTGTCAGACTTCTGAACTCTCTCATCACAGCCATCTGTTTCTCTCACTGACAGAAATGCTTTTAGTTACAACAACTTAGTCACTAGGAAGCAGTCCTTGCAAATATTAAAGCCAGCTCGATGGGAGATAGACTGAACCTCAAGAGAAGGAACTTACTAGTGGATGAGGGAGAGGAGAAGGTACTAAAAGAGTTTACTCCTTTGCTACAGGAGTACACGGTGCAAATCAAGGCAACTCTGTGACATCACTTACTAAGCCTTCACCTTGCTTAGCGCAAGCATGACAGCAATTGAACCTCTTTGGCACTGCTTTTGATGTGGAAGCAAGGCACTTGGAGGCAGTATTATAAAATACAGACAAGGCCTTTAAGGAATTTGTTTCGGAGGGCAAAGAAGAATAGCAAATGAAAATGCACTTTAAGAACAAACAGTATAAATGAGAGCACTTGCACAACAGTCTTATACTGAATGAGAGCAAGAAGCAGAATTGAACTTCCTCAATAACCTCTGAGGGGAAATGCTCATATGATGTGGACAAATACACATTTTTTTAAGTTCACACCACACTTTCTTTCTGTGTTTCCATGCTATTACCCAGAAAAATCTATTGCAAGACAAATAATTAATCTTATTATAGAAAATATGTGTAAAAGCTACCATGCAAAATAAATACTCCTATTCACCCAAAACATAACACAGTACAAAACCAATGACTAGTCATTTGGAAAAAGTTGTCTGTCTCCCAGCACTACTATTCTAAGACATTTATTGATTCACTATTAACTCCTGAGAAGACTATTAAGTCTTTTTAGTGCATCCATTCTCCCAATCTGTATAAAAGATAAATCTTCACTGTACTGCTTGGGTTTTTTTCTCTGAAACCTGACTGCAATTATGCATCACTGTCCTTGTACTAAATATTCTCTTCTTTGGTTTATTTCATGGGCAGAATCAATCCTACCTCACATTGTCATGCCTTTGAATGTAAATCTTGTGGAAAATCCTTTCAGGAGGCTTCAGGAAATCTTCCTTCATTTCCATTGCAACATTTCTGGGCAACAGACTCATCAAGAGACGTTCCTAAAAGAAAACATAAACAACATCAGTTTTGTGGTATAGTGTGTGACCACTTTTCAAAAGTTTTAAACTATTTAGCTAGACAATCTTTCCCTAATCTAATCTGCTTCCTTAAAATTTCTGCTGTATAAATAAGATGAGCCATTTCTCTCAAACTTCTGCGAACTGTGTGGATGTCTTTTTTAAAGTCTTCTGCACTAAAAAAGAAAATAAAATCAAAAAGCTACACAGAAAGAGGCAGCTTCAAGAGCAACTAATTGTCCATAATTTTCATTAACGTTACATTGCTAATAATAACAGCTTACTTTATTGTTAGTGGCATTTATCTGTCTGGGAAAGACTTCCCAGGATTATTTGCTATGCTTTTGTGTGTCCTATTTCTTTCTGGATCTAATGAAAGTGTTACATTACAAGAACTATGACAGCTGGTTATTAAGTAGTGAAAGTGGATAATGGATTTATCCACTGTCTAATTCAGCAGAACAGTAATAGAGGTACAGTTTTAGCAGCATCTTATCCAGTGTGGCAATGTCTGTTCCAACCAGCTCAGGAATGAAATGCATCAGTACAAAACCCTAGTTAGACAGACATCTTGTTGCAATATTCACAGAGAAATTTTTTGCATGGGTCACTAACCTGCATAAAAAAGATCTCTAATGTTTTGGATCTTGTCAGTATTGACTATAAAGCCTTATGTAGTTTTTTGCACATAAGAATATGTGGAAAATTTGCCAGGTACCACCTGGCAAATCTGCATCTGTTGGTCTTAGGTGCTGTAAAGTGTCCTTAGATACCTAATCAAGTTTTATTTTCATACAGAAAATCCTTGCCATTTAAAATGTAGTTCCAAAGACCTGTCCAAAGACAAAATGTAGTATCCATCAGACCTGCTAGTTTCAGCCATGGCAGTCTGAAAGAATTCACATAACCACATGCAATCTGATTCAGGAATCCCAGGTTCCAGACAACAAGGGGAAAGGCTGGAGCAAGGAAGATGTGCCCTTGGTGGAAGAGGATTAGGCCAGGAAATAATTAAGCAAACTCAAAAGAAGTAAGTCCATGGCCCCTGTCAGGATGCACCAGCAAGCACTGAGTGAATGGGCACATGCCATTCTAAGGCCATTCTTGATAGTCAAACATGGTAACTGGGAGAATTGCTTGAAGACTGGAGGAAAGAAAATGTCACTTCTATATTCAAGAAGGGCAATAAGGAGGACCCAGGGAACTACAGGCCAGTCAGTTTCACCTTGGGTCCTGGAAAAGTAATGAAGGATCTCATCCTGGAAGCCAGGGTGGCTGGACCAGACAACTTCCAGAGTTCCTCAACTATTCTATGATTCTGTTATCTGACATCGAAAGCCACTATAATGGCAGCTGTGAGACATCACAGAAGTGCATATTTTGGCCCAACCACATCCTTCTTTTATTTACATATTAAATAAGTAAGGAGCAACAATTAACACTGCGAAGAGGGTATCTGCACAGACAAATGCTTTGTATTGCTCACATGCATGTATTCACCAGTCAAAACCATCAAATAATACTCAAAATTTCTAATTTTACAGTTTCTTTTGGAAGAAGACACACTGAACATTTATTTCATCAAGGATTAAGTTAAACTTTACAGAACTGCCCTGGTACTTACTGTAAACTAAAGTTCCTTCATATGTTTATGGCAGTCATATTGTCTTGAGGCTAAGGATCATTTCCTACCATTCTTATATGTATACTAAGAATATTGCAAAGAATATGATGAAATTAAATATTTGTTAACAATTTATGCTTATAGCAATTTCTGATTAACCAAAGCATCGCACATTTTAGTAGAAAATGGTATTTACTATAATTTTTATTTTAATTTATTAGGTATGCATGTATTTCTGGAACAGAATTGTATTTGGGTAACCCAAAATTTGGATTAAAATCCCAACCAAATATTTTGTCAGCAGTGGATCTTGCGAAGCTCTGTTGCCAGCTACTTGTGTCTTACAGTTGATTTACAGTTTTAAGTGAAATATACTGGGGTTTTAAAATGAGCTGACCACCTATCAGGCAACAGATAATCCATACAAGAGAGAAATTTGATCTGATGGTTAAATTATCTGGTGCTTAAGATGGCATAAACCCGAAATGATGCTGGAATTTCATAAGTACTGTTCTGGATATGAAATTTACAATGTCTCATAAGGACTAAATATTCTCTGTCTCTTCTCCTTCAGTGAGTATATTAAACAAGATTTTTGCCATTTAAATTCCAAAACTGTTATGAAGATCAGGTTTTCAGCTTCTGTTTCCTAGAAAGTCAGACTTAATCAGACAAACAAGCAAACAAAAATTATACCAACAGACTCTGTAACAGAGATTAATGCTAACTGAATTTCTCTTCTATGGCCTGCAAACACAATTACAATACAAGATGTGAATGAAAAGATCATAGATAACTTCTGCAGTGCATGGCAAATAGCATGGAATCCAGGGAAGTAATAAGAATCATTACTGTAAAAGCAACATTGGAGAGCTGCAGGATGCAGCACTTGACAGATTTGAAATGCACAGATGTCAGATGTATTAAGAGAGGCTACAAAAATGATGAATCCTATACATGTTAGCTTGACAATTACAAGACCTGGAGGGAGCATATGAAGATCCTTAATCAAATTGTGGTGGCTTGCTTTTTTCATTAGAGGGGAAAAAAAAAAAAAAGATGGATTACTGGGAAAGAATTGTAGAGTCTTTACAAAGAGGGTTAGAAGCTTCAGACTCACCGAGCAAGGAAAGACTCAATTATGGCTTTCGCAAAGGCCAGCCACTTCTGACCTTTCAAACCAAGAAGGGAAGCAGCATCTCGACTGTAAGGATTTGTCACTGAAGAGGAGACTAAAAAATGTGAGGAAGAACCCCACAATGGAAAGTATCGAAGCATTGAAAATAAATGAAAGACAGCTTTTAGCTCACTAGAAAGAATATTAAAAAAGTCTCTTCTATTTAGGGCAAAATCTCATTTGTCGAGCAAAGCAGGTCAGTCTAAGGAATGCTGAAGGACTTAGAGTTTTGGAACAGCAAGAGTGAATTCATGTACACAAAATATAGCTGTTGGAAGTTTTGGGAAAGGGCTCCACCTGGATCTCTATTCAGCAAGTTGTACCATTGTTGTCTGATTTTTTCATTTGCTCCCGTATGGCGATCTGATTATAAAAATAATCTGAAAACCAGAATAAAATGAAAACTAGATGTGCATGGCTGCATAGTGCATTGAATGAAACAGCTGACAGAACTAAAGCAAGACTGGTCATATTTGTGCAGGCATTTATGATTGAGTGGTTGTTGCTTCTGACAGGGGTGGTTGATGAAAGAAAAAAAATAGAAAAAGTGACATAGGGATCACTAATCGATTAGCAACAACTTTTACCAAAATAAAACAACACTCATGTTGCAAAACTTCTTATTGGTGACAAACAATATTGTATTGACGTAGCCTAAACATGTGACATATTCCTAAACACAGGTCTAGTAGAGACAAAAATGTTTTCACATTTTTACCTTTCACACTGATTCACAATGTTGTTTAAGATTATTATAGCTGTTTTCTACCCAGAAAATTAAATTGTGGCCCTATGACCAACTTACACTATTTTAGGAATTTGTACTCTTTTCTTCTCCCGCTGTAAATCTTCACTCATCATTAACATGGTCTAAAGTGAAATCACATGCTGAAAAAAAGATTCTTTTCTGAGACTGTAACTGTCAGTAAATGATTTTGCATTCCCTGCACAAATCTCACTAAGAAAAGAAAATTATAGATGAGGACCTATATTTCCCTCATTCACAACATTTTACATTCCTAGTCCTAGTCTGGGATTTCAAATGCCAAACTGGGCTGCCTCTGCCAATTGTCTCATCCTCATTAATAAGGATTTCTGCACTATTAATGAAGACATAGCTGTTTCTGAAAAGGACACTCAATTTAGAAAAACATCCAGATTTCTTTCTCCCACAGCAATGAAGCATCACTAGAAATTAGAGAAGGAACAAACATTCATTTTGACTCCAAGACATGTTAAAATGTGCCTACCAAGCCAATTAAGAACTGCTCAGTGCTACCTTGGCCCTATTCAACAACAAGCATGACAAAGAGGGAAAATACACAAAAGCAGAGAAATGGATTTAAAAAAAAAAAAATGTTCCCCATTGTTAATGGCCAAAAGACTCTATATTACTACTTGCTGTTTGGAATGTTCTTAACTGTAATTGTAAGTTCAAGCTCCTGGACTGCAACTTTCACTCTGGGTTGGACCTGAGGGAAAATTTTAGTAATTATTCAAGACTTCACTAGACTAGACAAAGTTGACCAGACCTGGTGTTGCTGGCAGTCCTGCTTTGAGGGAGTGGTTGTGATGCCAAGATTTTGCCCCAAAAGGCACGAACGAAAAGAAACTGCT